TGGTGACCTTCTGTGTATTGATTGACTGAAACTGGCATGTGATTCACTAGATGCTAATTGGATGAAGACTGCTGTGACTGGGTCTGGTCTCAGTGTGCTGATTGGCTGACGTGTGTCATGATTGCTGCAGTTCATGGGGCTGATTGGATGAAGACTGCTGTGACTGGGTCTGCTCTCAGCATGCTGATTGGCTGACATGTGTCATTATTGCTGCAGTTCATGGGGCTGATTGGATGAAGACTGCTGTGACTGGGTCTGCTCTCAGCGTGCTGATTGGCTGACATGTGTCATGATAGCTTCAGTTCACAGTGCTGATTGGACTGAGTGGACTGAGCAATCACCAACTCAACACTTTGATCTTATTACTGCTGTCATGTACTTTGCCAGCACAGCTGACAAAGTACATGACAGGGCTCCTCTGAGCCCAGCGCTGTTCTTTGTGCAGCAGGTCCCAGTCGCGGCTGCTGACATCACCCTGCGCAGTGCCTTTGACTCACAACACCCAGGACCCGGCAGGGGGGGACCCATGTGGAGGTATTTCCCTGTCTGCAGCAGTGGAGGGGGGTTCTCTTTCCCTCTCAGAAACGATTCCAAGGCTCTACCCACTGCCTGCTGACGTGAGGGCAGACCCCATCATGGTAGACCTGGGGGGGAATATCTTGCGCTAGTAAGGTTGCCTGGGCTCCCAGTATTTTGACCCTGGCCTTCCCGCATCCCTCCCCAGCACTGAGCTGCAGAGAGATGGAGAGGCTGCAGGGCTCTCTGCTGAGCCAGGCTGGAGATCCCCTTCGATCCGCCAGATCTGCCAACCAGTGGCTGCCGGAGTGTGGAGGACGCTGCCAGGAAAGCAGGTTTCTTGCAAGAGGGGGGTTACGGTTAAGGCTGGAAGGGAGTGCCCTTTCCAGGTGGCGCTGCCAACTGCGAGGAGCCCTTTAAAAGACACAAACCCTTCAGCTGAGCCTCTCTATGGGGCTGCGTCCCACTGAGATCCGGTACACATTTGCTATTGATTCATCAGGGAGGCCGTGCTGGGAGATACACATCCCTGTGCCGGTGAGTGGGACATGCTCCGCAGGGACTGGGGGGTGTGGGGGGGGTGCACGAGCTTGTGTGCTGGGTAATTCACCTGGAACTGCCCCGCCCACCCCTCTCCCACAATGATCCACCTTGTCTTTAGCCCTGGCAGAGGGGAGCAGCCTTCGTTCGAGGGGCTGATGCTTGTCATGAGTAAAAGCTCCCGGGCCAGGCGGCTCCTGCAACGTGACGTCGGAGTAGCAAAGCCCAGAGACCGCCGGGTCTCGGGGAGTGAGGGTTCAGCACAGCGCCAGTGCAGGCATGTGTGTGTTTCGTCCATCTGCTTGCATGCACAAACGTCTATCTTTGTATGTGCTTGTGTGAGTGCATGTGTACGTGTACATGTGTACGTGCTTGTGTGTGTAATGGCTGCTGATTAAGTTGGGAGTCAAGTAGGGGTCTAAGAGTCATGAGATGAGCTCAACAGGGAGGCGAGGGAACCCCAGGAGAGCAGGCAAGCAGCAGGCAGGTGCAGCAGACGGGCTGAGTAGACGAGCTGAGCCCGTAGCCAGGAATGAATGCAAGGAAAATCCGAAAGTCAAGGTCCAATGAATCAGTCCAGGCTTGTAGTTGAGCTGAACACAAGGGACAAACCAGGGTCGAGAATCCAAAGAGACTCGCAAAGCTAGGAATGAGGCAGTGGATCAGAGCGAAACTCTATAATAGAGCCGAGAGCACGGCAAGGTTGGGCCTTAAGTAGTCTGCTTTACCTGAGCTGGGGAAGGTAGTGATCACCCACAGGTGAAACAAGCTTCCCGTCTGATATGTCTCCAGGGCAGCTGCCACGGACTGACAGGTGAGTACAGGCATGGCCAGCTGCTGTGGCAATGCTAGCTTGTTCTGCAGTGCTCCAGCAGGGGAGAGCATGACAGTGTGCACACCTGTATATGTGCATGTACAGTAAGCGCACATGTTCACGTATGTGTATGTGTCTGTACCTGTGAGTGCTCAAAGAGAGGGAAGACCTTGATTTCCTGGAGTAACAGTCCTGTCATGAGGGTGCTGACCAGGCCCCAGGCAGACAGAAATGCACACATCACTGACCCTCCCCAGTCACTGCTGACTTTCCTGGGCTCAGTTCAGTGATCAGCAAGGACACAGCCTCTGACAGCACTGTGGTCAGTGCTGCTTATCACCAGCAGAGGCCGCTGTTGACCCACTTTTGATACCAGCATGGCCCGCTGAAGCTAATAATACTTGTCTGCATTCCTACACAAACATTTCACACACAGGAGGAGACCCATTTAATTCCCACCGAAGTGCACAAACGTGGATGACTGTTCTGCACTGTTCTAAATTAAAGAGATTTTTTTTGGGATACCAGACTGTGTATAGACCCAGACATTAGGCAGGACAACGGGGATCCAACTCTACAGGGATTTGTAATAACACATTATTCAGGAAAAATAATACGTTTTTATTGATAAAACACCTTTCCAAACCCAAGGAGGCTGAAACAGTTTAACATCTCACACAAAAGGAACACTTCTCCACATTGGGGTATCAGTTAGGAAACTCTGTTCCAGAGGTGAGTGCCGCCTACCAGTCAATGTGACCTTTCTGATACATCACCCCTCCCACACAGACGTGCTCTTTATATTGCCCCTCCCACACGGGGGTGTGGCTCCTACATAGCCACTCCCCTGGTTGGTGTGTCCAATGGCTGCCTCAGGTGTGTCTGGTACATTGTCACTCCCCCTGAGGGCATGCCTTATAGGTCTCTCCTGTTGTAGGTGTCGCTCTGATACACGGTCACTGATTGCACTGGCCACCTCATTTGTCTTGTCTGAAGTCTCCAGCTTCAGCACTGCCCATGCCCAGCCTTGCACAGCTCAAGGGACCACCAGGTGTGTTACAAGGTGAATGCTTGTGTGTTACTAGATGAGCTGCCTTATTGCTCATGTAATCCCAATATTTTTTCATACAGTCAAAATGCAGATGCAGGATCCTTGCTTACTCTTCAATCCTGTTTTGCACCATGTATTCTACCCCGTTTTCAGGGATCTTGGAATTATTTCCGTACTGTAGGGAAAAATTGGCAGTCAATTTTCAGGCTTTCAAACGTGTTTAAAATCATTTTTAGATGATATTAATTTAAAAAGAATATATGTCTTAATTGCAAGAGGGTCTCCAGGTCTAAGACAGGGAGACCTGGTCTACAAGCCCTCTGAAAGTGCAATTTTCAACACTAGAGGGCTCTGCTCCACCAGGAAACAGTTGATGCGAGGGGCTGTGGTGGCCAGCAGGGGGCAGCAGCGTGGTGATTTTTGTAAGCTGGTAGGATCGGCTTCCCTCCCCACTGAAGACCTGAGGACTGCTGTTTCTATGGCAGTGGTGAAGTGTGCCCACAGTCGGCACCCAAGGGTGGTCAGTGAGTCAGTCTGCACACGGTTCGCCCCCATGGTCAGGGATCTGTCCCTCTGCTGTGCCAGAACCCGGGGCCCCAGATGGGGACCAACAGGGTAAACAAACAGCCGGGCCCCATCTGACCCATCAGAACCTCAGACAGAACACACATGAGAGGAAGTCGTTGGGTCCATCTGGCCTGTTGGGTCCGTTAG